AAAAAAAAAATAAAAAAATAAAAAAAAAAACACATCATAGTAAAATTAATACCTTCTCAGCTTCGCATCGAAGCTAAAAAAGGTTTGACCCTTACACTTGCCTTTTAGACCCTCAAAAATTGAAAAAATGTCTCATTGATTAGTTTGATAATTGGTGCAGTTTTTTTCGTAAAATTGAATTTTAAATCTTAGAGAGTTTGTCAAAATACTTCTTACACTATTATGTAATATTAGTGTTTTATAGTATATTTAAATTTTACTTTAGACACTAGATTAGNATATTAGTGTTTTATAGTATATTTAAATTTTACTTTAGACACTAGATTAGATATTTTAATAATAATAAAAAGTAAACACACAAATATTTTGCAAATTAAAATTGGTCACTTGGTTTGGAAATCAAAAAAACTAACTAAATCTGGAAATAATTGTCATATGTAAAAAAAAAAAAGGTAGAACAGTGAGGTCGCGGCACAATGTGGACGTGACAGTTGGAAAAAGTATAGATAATATCTGACAGTGATTAAAATCACTATCATAAACACTTCGATGCAAATCTTTAGGTAGTGTTTAATTTTAAAAAAATTGGTGGATTATTCCAAAAGCTACATGATTTGTTATTTCCTTATGTATATCCTGATTAAGATAAAGTATGTCGAATGAAAAATCGATATAAATATTATTTCTAATAAAGAAACTGTATTGATCCATACATTTTTCAAAAAGTTATAGCATAATAAAGTTAAAAATGTAAAATACAAAATCGAATATTTTCACACAAAAATAGCATTTGGTAGCCATTTTCACCGTGAAGATAAAATAAAGTCCGAAATTTTTATTTTCCATGATAAAGTATATTACATTAGCGTTAGTTTAAGATATGTATCAGAGTATCAGACTTACCGGAACATTTTCAAAAGTCAAGTTGAACAAATTAATTTTTTGTGAAAAAGTTGTCATTTTAAATCCCTCCCTGTGGGCAGGTAAAGGATTAGGGGGTCTATTTTTGAATCGTCCGTTCGTTGAACGGACACGATCGTCGAACGGACACGTTCCTCGAAATATGTTCAACGAACGGACAAGTTCCTTGAACGGTCACGTTCGGCATACGTATTCTATTGTTCCATTAAGATATGGCCTTCTAGGTATTGTTCGATGAACATTTATGTTTTACGATTGTTTGCAATTTATTGTAATAACATAAATAAATATTTTGAAAATTAAATTCATACAACTTGATTTTTAATATTTTAATATTTATTTTTAATTAATATATTACTTTTTAATAACAATAATTTATTACTAACACATAAATTTATAATTTGCTAATTTAATTTATATGATGTGAATTTATTTTAAGTAATTCGCTAAAACTATACAAATAATTTAATTACACAAATTCTAAAAAAAATGTATTTACAATTGCATACATGTTAAATTAAAAATTATTAATACACTTAAAACAACAATATTTAAATTTTCGAAAATAGAGTGTTACATAAATTTTATATAATTTTATTTTATTTATTCATTTTAAGATTAATTAATATAATTTATAAATTATGTTACATATAAATAAATAATAAATTTAATAAGATTTTAGTTCTTAATTGGAAAAAATGACACCCTAGATCACGGTCTACTCCTAAATACGCTACTGTTTTGAAAAGTTGTTAACATAACAAACATATAATGTCATGAATAATTTTCACAAAAAACTTAAGGTAAATTTTCAAAAGATGGTTTATTACGAGGTGCAAGGATGCAACCAACAAAATAGTTGTTACACGTATTACGAGTTTTAATTAATATTACTGAGTAATCATAATATAATATTATGTTTCAATTTATTTAACATATTAACTGAAAAATGGAAATTAATTTATAATACTGAATATAATATTTTAATATTTTATACATTTTTTTTAGACAACGTAATATTTAAAACATAAATATTACTTTTTTCTGCACGTGTTCAAGCAATAGGGGTAAAAAATTTTGAGATAATATACATGTATAATACACAAGGGTTTACAAATACAGGTAGCTAATTGGTTTTTTATGACATCGATATTA